AGCGTACGACGACCGTAACGTTCTAATAGATATGGTGACAAAGATGAGGACAATAGTCCGAATAATGTAAATAGGAAACTATAAATTATTTTCACTTCTATCGATCCCTAAATGGCCTCGGTGAAGGAAATGTTTATATTCACACTGATCTGCAATTTATTCTAAAAAATTAGGTTTCAAGATGTTTTCATGGAATAAATCATTTGAGATTTGGATTCAAATTATAAATAAAATAATTTGAATCTTCATAAACATTTTGCAGTTGTCTTTTTTTTTTTAATTCTATGGATAGTTTTATCATGCACAGGAAAACAATGATTCGCTTAACTTTACCCAATTATACCTCTCTTTCGTAAAGTCCAGTAATGGTAATAAATTATAATTGATTATAAAATACATATCTAGAATTAACTAATTTAAGAAATCTACGAGGAATTTCAGTAAAATTAGATTTTTCAATATAAGGAAGCATTCTGAATTTATTTTTCTCATAGCGTTACTCTCGGTGGAATTTGATAACATCTTTCATGTGAAAAAGATTTTTTTAAGCATTTCACCCCCAAGCAAGGCGGAAGTGCCCCTAGCATGCAAGGGATTACTTAGAGTGGAAGCAAGACAAAGAAAAGGATAAAGAGAAGGACGGGAAATTAGATGAAGGCATCTGAAAATGTCGATGGACATTGTATTTGAATAATTGAAGATTATAACTATCAGGGAAGCGAGGGAGTTCCACAGACTGGAAGTGCGAGACATGAAGGTATTGGAGTGGAAAAGACGGCTATATTTAACAGTTTCAACATTGAAAGGCTGGGACTGACATGGCAACTCAGTAGCACGCTTATATTCATGCTGTTTTGGTACCATCGAAAGTAGCTAGTCGGGGAAGTTACTGTGAAATTATTTGTAGAAAAGACAGAGAAAAGCGGGAATATTGTCTAAAGTCCGCTGTTAAAGCTCTTTGTAGGATTATTGTGAATTTCCTTCCAAACCTTTTGCTTATTGCAATGTGGAAATTCAACATCTTGATTATATTATTTTCCAATCTAGTTAGATGTGCTTTCAATTCAACATGTTGCTGGAGTTTTAAGTCTTCAAAATGATGAAAATTTTATTTCATTCTTTTAATACATTTTTTAAATGTGTCGGACTATTATGTGATGAAAGATTTTCTGCTTTATGACTTAGTGGAACCATCAATTGATTCCATTTGTAGTCATTGATCTGAGAGACTGGTTGTATATAACTGATAGCTTAAACATTTCTGAACAAGTTGGATGTCATTCGTGATATCCACCTAAGAGCCTATATATGCTGAATTAATTTAAAAACATGACCATTTTGCAGGTCAGTAGTTTGTTTTTGTAATTTGTTTCTCAATATTGGACAAAGCTAATCTATGTCCATTTTCTTTTATTATCCTCTACTAAATTTATTATAACTGGTCCATGAACAGAAGTATTTGTAGTGTTTAGTATTCATAAATACTACATTCGGAATTTTCAGATGGATATAGACTGTGACAACACTGCGTTCATTCCAAAGCTACCTTTTTTTGTAGTACATCGTAAATCGTAATTATTAGGAGACTTGGAAAAGCATGTTGAATATTTGTTCAAGATTATACATATCCCAACTATGAATACCTATGTCAGCAGCGCCCTCTAGAGGGGAAAATGAACGTGTTACCCTATGAACAGATTCATAGAATATGTTTAACTGACGAGAAACTTTACCTTCATATACTTTTATATACATGCAGAGTCTATGAAGGAAATGAATAGATTGGGTGTTATAATTTTATAGAATATATATATATATATATATATATATATATATATATATATATAGAGAGAGAGAGAGAGAGAGAGAGATAGAGAGAGAGAGAGAAAGAGAGATTATCTTTCTTTTTTTTTTTCCAACACATTTGTGGTACGTATGAATTCGGCTAGATAAAAAAGAAATTCTACAATTTCTAAAATTCGCAGCAGCCCTCGTTCTTGCGTAAATGTAATCGTAACAACATAACAAATTAGGTCCGATGTCGTCTTGAAGGACGAAACGCGTCACATGTTCTTTTTATACTTTGTCATACACTTTCATATATATATATATATATATATATATATATATATATATATATATATATATATATATAATTCTGTCACTGTGTGTGTATGTGCGTACGTGTATATATCTGCGGTAGTCATTCAACGATTTATTCCCACAATAATTATTATTTTTGTTCTTTTGACTATTTTACTTTGGTCGATATGTCCTTTAGTCTTCTACAGATTTAAGTTGCGAATTATTCAGGATAATATTTTATCTATTTCCATGAAACTTTATATTTTTTCTTATCTTTTAAGGTAAGGCGAAACATAAAATATTGACGACGAGATTCGAGGTATGATACAAAGTTTACCATATATATCCGCTTGAAGTAAAGCAGGAAATATCTAGGGGATAAAAAAATAAATAAAATGAAACAAGAAAATTTAAGATAACAGGTGCGAATATTTCATGCAATAAAATTTCAATGCGATCTATATCCCGCTGCTTAATTTAATTGTCTTTTCCCTTCCTATTTTATTGAATTGCTGTGATGTATTTTATCCATTTCTTTTCTCAGCCATATATTAATTTGGGCGTATCTCGTTCTGTTATTTTACTCCACATTTCCTGCAAATATCTTTTTCGGGGGCTTTATTTTTACATTCACGTTTCGTTCTATCACGAGTTCAACTTTTGTATCAATTCCTGATTTTATATTATAATTACCATTTCTTTTTTCAATCGATTTTATTTATTGCGCTGTATTTATTTTGCGTTTCGCTCGCATCTGTCATTGTTTGGCTTATTGAATCCATAGTTCTTTCTTGCCTGTTTCACTAGTTGTTTCTTGTGCCTAATATGTTGTGCTACACAGAAGTAATCATGTACACACAAACAGACCCACACTAACATACATGCATACTTATACATATAGAGAGAGTTTCCATAGAGTCAGTGTGGGTCCTAACATATATTTAGCTTTGTAACTGTGCCTTATATATACAATCTGGAAAAAGGATCAGAAAGACTGATATGTCCACTTTTTTCTTTTATTTGTTTTTACAATTTCTTGAAACTTCAATTTACATTTTTTTTGTTGTAAAGTTGCTGTTGATCAATGGTTTCACTAGAAGAGAAAGTAAACTGCATTATTTGATTGGCTGCGCTAAAATCTACAGTCGCTGTTCAAAGAAGATTTAGAACGTATCGAAATAAGCAACCACAATAGCATATTTAATTGGATGAACAACTTTAACGAAACAAGTATTCTCAAAAATAAGCAACGCTCTAGTAGCATATATGTCAGTGAAAAAAATTTAACATCCGTAGAACAATCCTTTGTAGGAAAAATTAAGAATCCCAATAATATATTGAAATAGTTTTCTTTCATATCTGTTTTATGGATTGTTTCTGTTATGTATAGTAACAAAACTAGGATTATTTAAAATTGCATAACGACTTTATGGAAACCCTGTGAGTTACTCACACGCCTAAAGTTATAATTTTTCTTCATGTTCGTAAAAGAAATGAAAATGAAAGATGTGGATTTTCTTTTTTTCATGCAGGATTTTTGTACTGAGCATTTTTTAAAGATCCTGGAAGACATAGTAAAAACTAGTTAAGTTGATACATGAATAGACTGGTAGTTACTTTAACATTTCCAGCATGCTTACGTTTTATAAAGCAGTTTTATTTTATTATCTTGTTTGTTTGTTTCTTTGTTTGTCTTTCTTTCTTTCACTTCTTGTATCCAGTTCAATGCACTGTTATGCTTTCTTTGTTTTACTTTTCCTTCTCTTCGTCCATTATTTGAACAGTCTGCCTTTCGTTCTTTTTTTTTCTTTTACTTCTCTTGTTCTATCCGTTGTCTGTTTTTTGTTTTTGTTTTTTTTTATTTACTTTCTTTAACCATCTTTTTTATTTCTACTCTTGTCCTTTGTCTTATCATTCTTTGTACTCCTCTTCTTTCTTTCATACTTTCTTTATTACTCTGAGAAACTGGTTGTATATAACTGATAGCTTAAACATTTCTGAACAAGTTGAATGTCCTTCGTGATATCCACATAAGAGCCTACATATGCTGAATTAATTTAAAAACATGATCATTTTGCAGGTCAGCAGTTTCTTTTTGTAGCTTCTCTCAGTATTGGACAAAGCTAATCTATGTCCAAGTCTTTTATCTCCTCTACTAAATTTATTATAACTGGTCCATGAACAGAAGTATTTGTAGTGTTTAGCATTTATTAATACTACATTCGGAATTTTCAGATGGATATAGACTATGTGACAACACTGCGTTCATTCCAAAGCTACCTTTTTTGTGGTATATCGTAAATCGTAATTATTAATAGACTTGGAAACGTATGTTGAATATTTGTTCAAGATTATACATATCCCAACTATGAATACCTATGTCAGCAGCGCCCTCTAGAGGGGAAAATGAACGTGTTACCCTATGAACAGATTCATAGGAAATGTTTAACTGACGAGAAACTATACCTTCATATACTTTTTATACATGCAGAGTCTATGAATGAAAATGAATAGATTGGGTGTTATAATTTTTTATAGAATATATATATATATATATATATATATATATATATATATATATATATATATATATATATATATATATAAGCAAGTGTAAATGGATATAAATCCGACAGAATGAAGAAATTTTGAAAAAACAAACAAAAATCCTCGTATTTGTCATATTGAACTGAATTGTATTTTGATGAATATTGTCTTGAAAAAGGTTTATTAAACCGAAAACGTCAGACGTCGACATTTCTTTCATTTTAACTACATTTAAGGATTTTTGTTTGTTTTTTCAAAATTTCTTCATATATATATATATATATATATATATATATATATATATATATATATATATATATATAGAGAGAGAGAGAGAGAGAGAGAGATTATCTTTTTTTTTCAGTTCAATGCACTGTTATGCTTTCTTTATTTTACTTTTTCTTCTCTTCGTCCATTATTTGAACATTCTACCTTTCTTTCTGTTCTTTTTTTCTTTTACTTCTATTGTTCTATGCGTTGTCTGTTTTGTTTTTTTTTTGCTTTCTTTAACCATCTTTTTTATTTCTACTTTTGTTCCTTGTCCGATCATTCTTTGTACTCCTCTTCTTTCTTTTTTACATTCTTTATTGCACTTTTCTGTGTCATTTTCTGTCTTTGTTTTTCATCTGCCATTCTTTCTTTTTCTTTCTGTATTTATTTTACTTCTCGTATTTCGTTTTTTGTTTAAATTTGCTGCATTATTTGCTTATCTTTCTCGTTTTTTGCTTTATTGTTCCTTTCTTTGTATGCTTCTTTTTTATTCATATGTCCTTATATGTGTATGCTTCTTTTATATTTTTATGTTCTTATATTTGCATTCTTTTTTTTTCTGTTTATGTCCCTATCTTTGTAAGCCTCTTTTTCTTTCGTTTTACTTTCTTTGTATGCTTCTTTTTTGCTTGCTATATGCCTACCTTTGTATGCTCCTTTTCGCTTTCTCTGTTCCTAATTTTATATGCTTCTTTTTTTTTTCTTTCAAGGTCCCTGCCTTTGTATGCTTCATTTTTTCCTTCTGTGTCCTTTCTTTTCACTTACCCTGATTACTTCTTTCTGCCTTCTTTTTATTTTAGTTGTTTTATATTGTTCTTTATTTCTTTCTTTGCGTCTACTTCTCTTACGTCCAACAATTCAATTCCGTTCTTTCTTTTTTCTTATTGTTATTTATATTAGCTTTATGCTTCACTTTTTATAATGTTAATCTTATTATTTCCAATATTTTTCCTTTCGTAAATCGGAATTCATTTTTATTACAGTCTTCATATTTCAAAATCTTTCTTTCCTCCCTAAAACTAGTATTTCTTTTTTGTTAACTAGTAGACACGCATTTCTTAGCATATTAATATCAACTGATATTTATATTCATATATGAATCGATATCTATGTGTATAGGTTTGACATAGTTTATTTGTGTTATTTTCCATATGATTTTCATATTCTTAATATATACATATTTACATTGTCCATACATAAAAACTATAAGACATTCTGTAAAAAATTATTATTGCATTCGGGACCAAAATAATTTTAAACAGGATTTATTTACATAGTTATGTCTATGAATTCTTAAATGAGAAAATTATATATGTATATATATATTATATAAAATTGCATGGCCACATACATGCATATTGAATATTCAGGATCGTCTTCATAAAAGATGACGACTGTTTTGAAAAACAATTTTTGAATTTGTGCCAGAGAGAATCGCTAAATATATTTATCTACCTTTATTTTATATGCGCCTCTTAAAAAAATGAAGGTATACACTGTGTATATTCCAATCTTCTCCGTTTGTGAAACTTGTCTCTTCTTGATTTGGGCAAGCACTGGCTCTGCATAATTTACAATCTTTTTTATACAAAATGTAACTTCAGTATTTTTAGCATATATCACTATTGCCTATTCAGCCATCCTGTTACACCATCTTGTTAAATAATTGTCGTTTTCCCGATTTCCAATCCTCTTCCTCAGTATGTCTTGTCAGGGTTATATTCTTTATGTCTTCTCTTCTTATTAGGTGTAAACGGCCATTTTGTAATCGTAAGTTTTTTTGTAGGCTATCTTACAGCTTCCTATTTTCTCACATATTTCATCCATTATATACTCAGAATTCGTTTGGAAATATATATCGCTGTCAGTTCAATTTTTCACCTGGAAGTAGATGTATCACAATCGTATATGAGATCATCTATTACGCAAACGATCATCTCTGTCCGCACTTAACGTACAAAGCAAAGAACAGACCATTGGAACACCTCGTAACCACCTCCAAGATGAAGTTGAAATGGTACGTAGAGCGAAACATATTTCCACTGTTAGCCTACATTACATCACGTTAGACAAAAGAATATGCAGTGTATAACGTAAATGAATGAACTTCAGGATCCTCCTCAGAAACTCAGATATTGACACGCAACCTAGATATATGGAGAGAGCTATTCAGCTCGACAGATTCACGACATCATTAAAACCAACGTTATGATGGGATTCATGAGGATCACTATTTCGGTTGATTTTAACTGGATTTTGTTATCTCTTCATACGTTGCTTATTTTCTATGAGACAAAATCCGTAATCCACAATCCAGATAGTTATATTTTTCTATCATCTTTTTTTCACGTTCACAATAATACAAAAATTAAATTGACCTAAGGAAAAACTAAACATAAGAACACGGCTAATGATAGATTATATCCGTAACAATTATGCAATCTATCATTAAATTTGGGCTTACGACAACATCAAGTTGAAAAAACGATTCTTAACGATCACCGAAGTTAAGACACATCGAGCTTGGTTTTTATCGGATGGGTTACCGCTTGGGAACACAGTAATGCAGGGTGGTATGGTGGGAAATAGCTCGTCATTGTTAATCGAAGAGCCGAGTTCGAAATCAGGATAAGCTCGTTATAGTCACTTACCGGCAAATAACGTTGGGAAAGGTACTAATCCACCTTTTCTTCCCTAGCTATGGATTTATTCGTTAGACTAGTATCAGAAAATCATTATTATCTAAAAAGATATTCTTACAATCTAAAAAAAAAAAAATCTGGTTTTAACTCGCCGACAAAGGGTTGATACACCGCAGAAAACGAAACAAGCATTCAAACTCATTACGTTTCGTCTGAATCTGGATGAACAGGTAATTTAATAGTGTAAGATGTCGTAATCAGAACTCAGAGATCCAAGTTCAATTTCCCTACGGATTCCGTACATTTATTTAAGCCGACATACCAATGCGAAGAGCGGTAAACTCATTTTTCCCGCAGGCTATGTGTTAAATAGTAGGATAATTATTTCTCCGGACATTATGAATGTAATAAACACTCGCTAAAACTAATTATAGTTACAATCCAAAATATGTTTCGAATAACACAGAAATGGTTTAGCAACCGTAGGAAGTCAAAAAAAAAAAATCGAACCAATAATTGTTCTGAAAGCGATGTAAATAAGTTTATGTAAAATAATGGTAATATTAATAGTTTCCGTATATGAGAAAAAATCGGAATTCACTGGTTGAACTCTCAATAACACTCTCAGTGTACTTTTATAAAATATTTCAATTTAAACAAATTTTCATGCAATTAGTTTTTCATGTTCAATGATTTAATGATTTGTTCTGTTTTTAAGTAATATCATATGTCTTAGTCCTTCTTTCATGTTCAATGATTTAATGATTTGTTCTGTTTTTGAGTAATATCATATATCGTAATCCTTCTTTCATGATCAATGATTTAATGCTTTGTTCTGTTTTTAAGTAATATCATATGTCTTAATCCTTCTTTCATGTTCAATGATTTAATGATTTGTTCTGTTTTTAAGTAATATCATGTCTTAATCCTTCTTTCATGTCCAATGATTTAATGATTTGTTCTGTTTTTAAGTAATATCATATGTCTTAATCCTTCTTTCCTGTTCAATGATTTGATGATTTGTTCTGTTTTTAAGTAATATCATATGTCTTAATCCTTCTTTCATGTTCAATGATTTAATGATTTGTTCTGTTTTTAAGTAATATCATGTCTTAATCTTTCTTTCATGTCCAATGATTTAATGATTTGTTCTGTTTTTAAGTAATATCATATGTCTTAATCCTTCTTTCCTGTTCAATGATTTAATGATTTGTTCTGTTCTTAAGTAATATCATGTCTTAATCCTTCTTTCATGTCCAATGATTTAATGATTAGTTCTGTCTAATATCATATGCCTTAATCCTTCTAGATAACAAACATTTGTTAGCATCGGAGGCAATTTTTTTTTCAATGTACCTGTTGAAGTAGAGTAAGTAGAGTAATCTTATCAGATTAGCAGATGGAAAATCGACTGGCATATAGCAGTAGATCATTTACATACCATAATACACCTCTCTTAAGCGAAATTGCCTCATAACTTTCGTTGATTTTTGACTTCTTCTAATTAATTCTGGGACCCTTAACTGTTTTCTTTGCAGGTATTGTGATTTCTTCTTATAGGTGCCTATGTCTGAGTTCATTTTCCTCTTCCGAATTCTCGTCAGATTTCTTGTCATTAACATCTATAGATTGTTCAGGTTAATTATTAATTTCCTTAGTCCCGCATCCCTTTCATGTTCTTCAGCTACAGTTCTTTCGTCCATTTCAATATTCTCGGCTTCCACTCTGCTTCTGAACTGATCAGTATGGGCCAGAACATTTTCTCTATTTTTCGTTAGAGTTGCTGTGTTGTGTCCATTTAGTACAAAGTTCGCCATCTCTGGATTAGATTCTTTGTCTATTTTATACCGTGCACTTTCAATTATTGAAAATTTCATTGTTATGGGAGCTCTAATCTCTCTACCAATTAATTTAGTCTGCCGGCATGTGGAGATGTCCTATAGATTCACAATAATCTTGGTAATTAACTCTATTTGTTATCATTAGATGTCAAAATACATTCTAGTACAATTTTTTAAAAAAATTGTCCCAACAAAAATTTTCAAACTCTTTCTGTGCTGCATAGTATTGCTAAGTATTCTTTCTCAATAACAGAGTAGTTAGCTTAAGCTGACGTTAATTTTCTCGACATTTACATTATGGGATGAGCTTCTTGAGATAAAATTGCAGTTACAGCATGTTCATTTGCATCGTTAGTCAATATCAAATCCTTTTTTGGATCAAAGATTTTGCAATCGGTTTTCTTATTAGTGACTTTTGCAAGCTTTCAAAAGCTTTTTTTACCTTTGATTTCATTTAAATTTGTTATTCTTTTTCTGTAATTCTGCAAATGGTTTTATTAGATCAGTGTATCTAGGTAGGTATTTGCCATAAAAATTAGTCAATCCCTAAAAGAATTTTATTTTTTTATTTATTTTTTGTGCAGATTCTTCCTATATATGAACAGTTAGTGAAATTCCTTCTTTAGATATTTGATATCCCAAATATGATATTCTTTCACAATTTAACATACAGTTATTGCTATTTATCGTCATACAAGCATTTTAAAAATTTGTTTAAAACTTGTTCAGTTGCTTTTTATTCGTTTTTACTGTAAGCACCTATGCCTCTTTCCTCTTTATATGATTATTTTTTTTTACTCTCTTCGATAGAAATTTTTCAATTGCTTTTTGGAAAGTTTTGCTTGAAGTCTTAACTCCAAATGGAAGATGAATAAATTTTGGTTAGCCTACGGGGTATTAATTTTAGTGACTTCTTTAAATTTTTCTACTTCTGTTTGGTTATACAGTGTAACCCGGATATAACAGAAACCCGGATATAAGAGAGATTTTCTCTGGCCCCAAATTAGAGCCCATACTTACCTAAACAAAATAGACCAAACGCGGATATAAGAGAAACCCGGATATAAGAGATATTTTCTCTGGTCCCAAATTAGAGCCTGTGTTAATGTATATAAAATAGACCAAACCCGGATATAAGAGAAAACCGGATATAAGAGACTTCTTCTCCGGTCCCGACAACTCTCTTATATCCGGGTTGCACTATATGCCGATTTCAGGTCAATCCTGGCAAAGTATTTAATTCCAGCACATTCATGACATGCCGTTTCTATGTTAGGTAAATGAAAT